TAGCTTGGCCTCCCACGTTTCGAGAAAGTGTTCATTTTCTTTACCAGCGTCGCAGGTGTTCTGTAGAGGCGATAAGGCGATAAATCTGTATTTGTATTGCATGGGTCCTCGAGGATCAGGTGAGTGAACGTGTCAGGTACGGCGCGTATTGGCCAAACATATTCATGTTATGTTAGGTACAATCGGTGCATTAGTATGCCGTGTGTATGTGTTGCTCTGCAGTCTTCTCAGTATGGTGCTGTCCTCTTTGTTGAGCTTCGATTGTAGTGGTGGATACTCTCTGCGCGCCAGCCTATGGTGTTGCAGTATTGCAGAGTAAGCTTCAAGGCTGTTTCAGATGCCGCGATTGTAGCGAAAAAAAATCGTTTCGTTCGCTCCAATCGCTCTGTTCGCAACCGTCGCCAATGGCGGTTTCGTTTCACAAGGACGGCGGACGGTCCGCGATTTTCGCGCTGCGACTGGAGCGGTGAGTTCTTGCCAGCGCTCATTGTGACAGACACGAATGTAATGTAATAATATGTGAATTATGGTATCATGAAGTTACCGCGAATGGTAACGAAGGGCTTGCTTGTTTCGTTATTAAGGAACACTTTCCAGTCTGAATTCATTTTATAATGCGCAGCATCGTAGAAGTGTCACAGCGTGGGCTAGTTGGTATGGCATGACGATAGTTATAGCGCGAGAACAAAACGACGACACAGAGACAACAAGGACACGAGACAAGAAGGACACGACACGTTTTGTTCTCGCACTGTAACTATCGGCACAGCATCGGCCATTACCAAAACAAACACGTCGACTCTATTTCGATGGCTTGACCGGACGAGCCATGCACTGAAAGTGCTACTTTTTGTGTCATGTGAAACGGCCTTTACGTACCGCCTCAGCCTCCGCGGACGCAGTCCTGGCGTCTAGAAAGCGGGAAGGGGTAGCCCGGTAGGCGTGATCGCGGGCCGGGGCATGAGCCGCCTCGTTTCCCTCCAGCCCTTCGTGCCCAGGAAGCCCTGGCACCATAGGTGAACGCATCGAGAGTAGCTCTTCGGGTTGACTATTCAATATCTGAATCGCTTGGGTAGACACACGACCTTTGCTGTAGTTTCGTATGGCTGCTTGAGAGTCCGTAAATACCACAACTGCATCCACGCACGTTGGTGGCCGCTAGGGCAATTGCTGCCTCCTCTGCAATTTTTGGGCTTCGGGTGCGTACTGTGGCAGATTCAAGCTCTACGCCCTGAGTATCAACGACGCTCAAAGCTTAGGCGTCTCTACCAGGATACTTGGCTGCGTCTGTATATCTGGCGTCTGGATCTTGGCTGTGATTTCGTCGTAGAGCATTCACTCGTGCCTGCTTTCTTTCCTTGTGATGTGTGGGGTGCATAGTGCGGGGAATTCGTGGAATACAGAAAAATTCGCGGATGTTTGGCGGAATAAGTTCTTTTCGGTGCGCGTCTGTGTCGTCTATAATGGTTTCGCTATTGTTCAGCCATTGTAGCACTGATCTTCCAGTGGGTGAGAGCTTTAGTCGGTCTAGCTGGCCAGCCCTGTGGGCTTCGGCTAGTTCCTGCCAGGTAATGTGCACGCCCATTATCAGTAGTTTCGCAGTGGAAGCCGTAATTGGAAGTCCTAAAGCGATGTTTGTATTGCAGATTGAAAAGAAAAAGAGCAATGAGTGATTTTGAAATTTTAGCCGTGCTTGAAATGCCACTCAAGTTCCAAGCGCTAAAGCTGTGCGGGTGTCTAAAAGAAAAGCACTTGCGTCTCTCGCTTCGAATATCCGCAGCAAAAACTGCAGAAGGAAGATTGCGAAGTGCGTCCCTTTATTGCGTTGAGCGTGTTGCAACTGTAGCCCCTTCAATTGTTGTAGCGCAGTAGGAAAAAGAGACTGTCACTCTATATCAGACACATACATCACGTGCCCACGGGTGGTGTTGTTGCAAAATCAATAAAGAGTGCAACCAGACCGAGAATGCGGGTCAACTATTCATTACGATAAAATGTTGCCAGGGCACTACGAAACAAGGAATATCATTGCTCGGGTGCTTAAAACATTTTACTTCTTCGTTTTTTTTACGCCATTGTTTGAATTCCCTGCGGCTAATTTCTCGATCTGGTAAGTGCCATTTAAGAACCTACCACAACATGAGAGGCAAGCCGTTGATTCAGCGTCCGCATTTCGTAGCTGCTCTAGCTTATGAATTTTGAGGCCTCTACCATACTATACGTATATGCAGACAGATTTAGTTGCACGTCCGCAGCAGCCGTATACAGACGCAGCCACTCATTACAAATGGCTTGCAAGCTGCGTCCGTACGGCGGCTGTGGGCGCGCAACTAAATTTGCCTATCAACACGCATGGCCGTTGCGGAGGCCAAATGCCCATGTACTGTGCGATATCAGTGCTAGTCAGTGCTAGTTAAAGAACACGAAACGAATTAAATTTGTGGAGCCCTCCTCTACGGCGTGTCTCGTAATCGCGTCGTGGTTTTAGGACGTGAAAGTCCTCTAATTAATAAAGCGAAAGGTTTAGATGCCGCCTCATCAAACGGCAAATTCGACTGTCGCTAGTGACCACCCCACGGCATCAGGGACGAGAGAGAGGGGGCAAAAAAATAATATTCGCGAGATGACGTCACCATACGGAATCACAGTTTGCGAGAATTTGTGACATCATCATGGCGGGACGAATTCTGACGCGACGGCACGTGACGTAACGCAACATGATACTGTTTTAGCGCATTCCGTTGTGCGGCGAACAAATCATTGAGAACGTAACCTCAAGTGAAGAAAACGAAGACTTAGCTCGCTTTGCCCTGTTCTCTTAAAAATCAGCTGAGAAGATTACACATTGGATAAGAAGAAAAGAATGGCTTTCACCATTAAGTTGCATGAAGTGAATTCACCAGAGGCATGGTGGGTGATTTCATTCGCAGTGTTGACAGGCCCGATTTCACAGCAGCCATGTGCATGGTAATGTGTGCCCATCAACAAAAAGAACATTAGTAGCATAGCCTACGAGAAAAAGTATTCGCTATAAAGATATATTGTGAAATATTATTCCACGCCATACGTCCCAGCCGTTTTGGCGACCATCTCAAATGTATTCGAAAAAAAAAAATTGTGCTCATTCACTGCATTGAAAACATTGAACTGCTAGAAGATTTCGGAGGGAAAAAAACTTTTTGGTCACGTGGCTGCCTTCTGAACTTTCTGGAATGTCGTTTGGGTGTTGTTTGTGGCAAAATATATTTTAAAAGTACCACAATTTTTTCTATACAAAATTTGGTCTACATGCTTATGTAAGTTGTGTGAAGCTCAGTAATATTAGTGCAATTTCACTGGCACATATGCCTCCAAGAATTAAGTCAAACTGTGTTATGTTTGCATGTTTTATATCTAAATACTAAACTTTGTATGAATATCTGAGTAGTGAATACTTATTTCACAAAAAGTACATTTCAAGGCAAAAATATTTTTAGACCTCTCAAGCTGCTAAACTTTACGATAAAAATTATGAATTTCACAATCTTGTCATTTTTGTCCATATTGAGACGTAATTTGGCCCATGTGGTGGTCCAATTGAAAACCACCTTTAGACTCAAATCAAAAGCAAATAAGCATTTCTTTCCATATGCCTAATCTTATCATTACATATATTTAAGGAAGACAATAATTTTGGAACTTTCCCATTGGCGCTCATCTTCCCGTTTGGTCATATGACAGCTCTCACCTTGAAATTTTCCGTTGCCCTTCCCCAGTGCAAGGTAGCCTCGGTAGGCTACCCTGCTCTGGCGAGAGAGAGAGAGAGAGAGGAAGAAAATGTATAAAGGAGGAGAAAAAAAAGTCACTGACTGGGCCGACGCGTAACAGTTTCACGTTTCACATCACAAACAATGACACAGACCAGTGTCTTCAAGGAAACGCAACAGCGCTTTCATTGCCTTTCGGAACTGGGATGGGCAGTGGCATGGTTCCCAAAACTTTCTCGATAAGTGAAATAACTTCCGTCCATTTGATTTAAAACGCTGTGGAGGTGAAGCATCTCGTTTGTGTATGGCGGGGATGTAATATGAAAGGTGTTCAATAGTCTCATCGATGGCGCAGTCGTTGCACTTCACGCTGTCAGCCATCCCAATCTTAAATGTGTAGCCATTGGTCAATGCTATTCCCAGACACAGACGGCACCATACTGTGCCTTCCTCTCCGGAAAGACCAGTGGCGCAATTATGTAAAAATTCCAAATCCGGACGGAGGCGGTCTGTCGGTGACGTCAAAAAATGGGCGGTCTGCAGCGGTCGCGAGGACGAAAGGAAGTGAACAGCCAATGAGGGAAATGGAGGCTTGCGTCATCATTTTGACGTTGACTTGGGGGCCGTATAGCAAAGTGAAAAGTGTTTGTAACATGTTCAGAAGTGTTTGACTATTATTGCGCACTATTAAAATGTGTTGGCACTAGTTTTCAATTGTTTAATAAGGAATACAATACAATCCAAACGTATTTTTTCTGTTATTGTTCTAAACAACGCTAAATTTAGCGGGACGATTTGTGGTGGCGCTAGGTACAACTTTGTTTCAAGCAGTTACTGTTTTCAAAACTCCACTACTAAACGGCGCAACTTTCGAAGTCGTTGGCTCGGTCGAGCGCAGTCATGGCGGAGGGCAACGGCACCGCTAGCCACCAGCAGCAGCGGCTCATCCGCGTTTCCGAGGGTCAGCGCGCGCTGGTGCTCGCCTTTATGAGCGAACATCCGCAGCTCGCGGCGAAAGCCATTGAGCTGCAGCATGGCGTCACGGTCGCCGACCGGCGGCGGCTGTGGCAAGAGCTCAGCGACGCGCTGAACCTTGAAGGCCCTGCGCAGAAAAGCGCGGATGACTGGCAGGCTTGGTGGCGCAGGCAGGTGCACGAGGCCCGCCGTGACGCCGCCGCCATCAAAGAGGCACAAACGTGAGTGACCGTTGAATGTGCGGGCGATTTGTTCTTTGACATTGGTGTATATTTCCAGGGGCACTGGAGGGGGTCGTCTGCCAGGCTTCCGGGGTCGCGTGTTGCAACTCACCGGGTTGGCGCGCTTCGGTGGCGTCTTCGGTTCCCTCGAATATCAACAGGTAAGCACTCTGCCGCCGCAGTATCACGGGTTCCTGAGCGGTGCCATGACAGAGTTTGCCCATTTTGTAAGGGGTGCCTTTAGGGGAACCTTGTTGAACAGTAAGATAGTGCAGGAAAAAGAATTCAAAAGCAGGTAGGTTTGTCAACTGAAATCTCGCTTTGCAGCCCTTGCAGGAAAAGGCGTATTTATTTATCAAACAGACACGAAATGCCTGCGGGCAAGTGCATGCACTAAAATGGTAATACTTGATATCATTGACCACTGAATAGCTGCAGAACGTTTCCGCAGATGTTTAGTAGGTAAGGTTGTAAAATAGCCAGAGTAACGAATACCCTTTTTCTGAAAGATTATGCCCACGACACTTTCCAGCAGGCGGATGTTCCCGCTCCTGCAATGGAGGTCGAGGTGGAAGCCACTGAAGCGGCTGCAGCAGCTGACAGTGACACAGCCACACGTAAGCATCTGAGAACTTAGTGTTTTATTGATTATAGGACGTATGTGCGCCCAGTTCGTGAACTTTTTTTTTTACTCCACAGAAGCCCCCCCAAGTTACCTGGAAAGCGGCCCCGCTGCACCGGGTAAGTTATTGATCATCAAAGTGTTTTGAGAAAATAACCTCTCGTATGTTATTCGAATTGCCCAATTATCCACAACATGGCCATAGACTTAAAACCTACCACAGCATGCGGTGACGAAAATGCTGCATGTTTGCAGTGCCTCAGCCTCCTGTGCGGCCTCGCCGTCAACAGAGGCCACGGCGCACCGACACCTTGTTGCGGGTGTCTTCCCAGTGCGACCAGAGCCTCGAGCTGACTGAGAAGTTGCTTGATGTGAGTAGACCGTTTGTTTAAATTTTACGTAAAGGGTGTGAACATTTTTGATGCTCTGTTATGATGACTGAAACCAACTTGGGCTGTAAATAAGAAACATGCATTGTATTGAGGGCACGGTATCTGACATCTGCAATGATAAACTGCCGGGCAAAAGGTTGGTTAGCCCTGAAAAGGGCTGTTTGATTGTAAGAGATGCATTTGAGGAGATGAATGAAGAGTAGTTCCAGCAATTGTTTGTTGATCCAAACGAAGAGGGCATAGCTTGTACACGAAGCTTCACACTTTCAAAGGATGCCACCAGGCCAATGAATTTTCAACTGAGGGGAAATTGTTGTTCACGTTGCAATTCTCCGCAGCAGCAGCTTCGAGCCACGAGATGGTCGAGAGTTCTTCAGCAGCTCATGCAAACATTTCCACCATGATGATTCACTGCAGGAGGTGCGGGGGATCAGAAGATCAGCCTTGCACTTAACTTCTCTGGCGCGGCGTATGGTAGCAGCACTGGAACGGGCGGCCGCAGCACAGGAGCGGGCCGTGGCTGAGGGCCCTCTGCGGGAAAGAGATACATAGTTATCTATTTTGATGTTCGATATATGCGTTTATTTTAAGTTTTGCATCATGTTTTTAATGTTTTAAATGTTTATCATGCATTATTGGTTCATTAGTTTTTATATGTTTACGTGTTGCAGTCAGCGTACCATTTCATACGTTGTTTTTTACATTTAATACATATTACTACCTTTAAGTTAGCATTTACTTTGTACAAGGAGTACAGCATTTTTTTCTTCACGTCTTTCATCTATTTTGATGTTCGATATATGCGTTTATTTTAAGTTTTACATCATGTTTTTAATGTTTTAAATGTTTATCATGCATTATTGGTTTATACTACCTTTAAGTTAGCATTTACTTTGTACAAGGAGTACAGCGTTTTTTTCTTCACGTGTCTTTCATCTTTTTTGATGTTAGATATATGCGTTTCTCAATTTATGTTCGACCTACTCGTGAGGCAGCGTCTCCCCCCTCCCCCCACCATCTTAAAGGTGTCTAGTCATCCACACAAAGACCAAGAGCGTATAGTTGACATTTTTGTGAATGTTTTTAGCACTGTGATATTTGTGTTGCCTCACTGTTTTCTAGCTCACTGCGCTTTTTATGCAGCATTACCACATAGTGTTGGACTGTGATATTTTTTAGCCTCACACTGTTTCGCAGCTCGCTGCATTCTTTATGAAGCATGTTTACCTGCCGAAAATTGCTTACACTGTGATATTGTCATTTCAGCGCAATGAGGCTAAGGTACAACTACAACCAAGTCTTTTTTGAGATCACTAAACTAGCAAGTGGGTATGTCGCACAGTTTCACTAATGAAAAGGGTCATCATCACAGCAACATTCCAGCGACTGTTTTCATTGTAAATTACTCATTGCAGGAATTAATTTTGAACGTGGTATGCTTTGGGAGCAGCGAGATTGCTGAGCCAAATATTCATGCCGTGTGTCATTAAAACAACCCACATGTTATTTGCTGCTTTGATTTACGTATTTTGTAGCATTGCAGTATAACTGTAGTCGGGAATTCAAATCAAATGAAATATTATTTAAATATTTATACAATGTTGAGGACAATGAACAAAAAGCCGGCACGGCATTGTGCTCGGCAAGCCTAAATGTGTACAATTGAATGCTTGCAGTCAATGACTATGAGAAGAGACGGACATACGTATCATGCGTTCTTGCAACATGTTTTTAATGTAACTGCAATTTTTATGCGTTTTCGTGAAAGAAGTTGTGTGACGTTGCTGCATTGTTCCCACAATCTTTTGATGGCAACAGTCAGCACAGGGTGCCCCTCATATGCGCTTGATCCAATCTAGTCTGTTGTGACTGTGATCACTGATATAGAAAAGGGTGTTTCCGTTGCCTAATTCATGTGACATTTAAAAAAAAATGCATTTTTCTATTGCCACCATGCATAATGTTGAAGCACGAGTAAATACTTTGTGTTGTGGCAAACACAGCCCTGTCTTGCCTGGGTGCACTGGAATTAGTATGAATAAATTATGTGTGTCATATGACAGCTTACCGCGTTCCTGTGCACTTCAAAAAAGGCCCACGACAGCGCTGCGCTGCTGCTGTCCTCTGAGCAGCACGTTGCGCGGTGTGAGCACATGGCTCTCTCCTGGCTCCTTATCGTCATCCTCAACTGGTGGCATGTCCCCAACATACTCATCCAAGGTCCAGTCCCCCGCGTCCAATGCAATGTTGTGGAGAGCAGCGCAGGCATAAATAATTCGCCCTGCTCGATCGGGGTTGTAGAGCATCGTTCGAAAGTGCTGCAAGCAGCGGAACTTGCTCTTCAACACTCCGATACATCTTTCCACAACATTGCGCATGGATGCGTGCTCCTTGTTGAATCGGCCTTCGGAGGTGTTGCCGGGGTGACTGCCAGGAACTGGAACGAGGAGCCATGGCTCGAGGGGATACCCTGCGTCTCCTGCAATAGATAAATGGCGGCTGAGTGCTCTACCCCAGTTAGTTCACATTAATACTTACCAAGCAGATATTCGCCAGGCTGCAGCTGTGCAGCTAGGCGTGAACGCAAAGGGTTGTGTTCCCAAACCCAGGAGTCGTGGCACGAACCTGGGAATCGTGGGTCCACGACAAGGATGCGCAGCCGTGCGTTGCACACCTGTAATGAGTGATACAAAATAGTACTGCATCTATGCTCCAAACAAACCCCTTCTTTCTACACATAAGCCGGAAACAATGCATACTAGTACAGTCATTGGTACATGCAGTTTCACCTAGAGGGGAACACAGGGACAGGGTGTAGCAACTGAGGAGGGAAGGGGGCAATGACCATTCCCCTGTACAGATGGCTAGGACTTCCACTGAATGATCGATAAATGAAAACCTACGCCATGCTATTGGGAAAGAACACTCGTACATACCACAGCTAGCCTATGCAATTGTGGTTATAAGTACTTTCGTGTTTGAAATACTTCCCTATCGTGTGTATAATTCTGCTACGACTACAGCCCATATTCTTATTACCTTCAAAATGCTCAACTTCATTGCGCATGCATGCCAGAACGAAGACAAAAAATACGACAACTGGCTCACTTACACAAACACTTGCCACTTATGATAACCGAGGCCATGAGAGCCACCAACTAGCACGCACCCGTTTATCCGCATGTTCTCCCTTATTCTTTGAATTGGTACTTTTCCCAGCTCCGACGTCAAAACTGAACAGCTACTCCGATGGGCGAGTAAGAAAGGATCCGAACGGTACTTACGATCATGACGTTCAGGGCATAATAGCCCTTTCTGGACATGAAACTCGCCGTGTCGGCCAGGCTGTATCCCTCTGGCTTGCGAATGGCGACCAACGTGCCGTCGACACACGCCAGCACGCCTGGGATGCAACCACGTCGTGCAAACTCCGCCTTCGCCTCATCCTTGGCAGCTGTGGTCAATGGGAAGTCCACCACCCTTTTTCTGGCAGCCACGGTAATAATCGCCTCCGTCACCTCGTGGATGGTGTTGCTCACCGCCGGCTGAGACATGCCGATGTGTTCCTCGCGACCAATGCTTAGCTGGAAGCTACCGGTGGCGAAAAATCGCAGCGCGCACAACACCTTTCTCTCTGTGGAAAGGCCACTGGCTCGCTGGCATCCGATGATAGGGTCAAGTTCGTCGCACAAGCTACGCACTGTTCGTTTGGACAGACGAAAACATTGCCGGAACTCTTCTTCGCTGAACTCTTCAAATGCATCTTTTACCTCGCGTTGTCGCCTCTGCTCGGTTGAAGCTACCGCACAGGCAAGGCGAAGTACCATGTCAGTGGGAAACGCCATGTTGTCTAAGTGCCCCGGTGCCGAAAAGTCGCGCTTTTTTTTCCATTTCAATCCAATCCAGGCCACCTTGCAGCCATTTCAATCCCTCCGGTTGCTTTCGGACAGTCTCTCCGACCGTTCCATCGCCTTTCTCCGAAAACCGTAAAAAAAGAGTCACGTGACACCCCAGTCCACGTCACTCATAACGTCACAGCATTCGTCACAGCTTGTATGGGTCAATCGCGTGCGACTCAATGGAAGAGACCGCCTTTGTCCGGATTTGGAATTTTTACATAATAGCACCACAGAGGGTAGCCGCCGTCGTAGAGATGGGTCGAGAGAATACAGTCGAGGATATAGGAGCTGTGATGACTGTCGCTTATCGAATGCTATATTCTTTGCCAGCTTCGTTAACTATCCAGCCGCGTCAATCCTAGATAAGGGTATGAAAAGAAGGTTGATTTGTACGTGTGCAATTCTGGCAGCTTTATCGGTGGTTTCTAAAGAATATGCAACATGAAGTCACGTCCTGCATTGCCTCTTTTTTTGAACAAACAAGGTTTTTTTAGCATGTAATACTCTCTCTCTCTGTGTGTGTGTGTGTGTGTGTGTGTGTGTGTGTACGTGTGCGTGCGTGCGTGTGTTGTCAATTATCCTCATTTTTCACCCTCTATGCGGGTGACGGCACCATTCCAGGTTAATCAATCTCGCAAATTTGATGCGACAAATATGATGCGTGCAAGCCTGTCTCATTTTTGTCCTTTTATCGTACAGATCGGCTGGGAAATCACTTCGCGGCTCTTAACAGACACCTGCTATTTTAGTGCTGTGAAAACCCCGAGCTGAAGCAATACCGAAGGGAACCTTACAGTTTTTTTTCTTTGATTCTCACAAAACCTTTGATCTTTTTATCGCTAAAAAACTCAACAAATATCAATAACGTTAACCTCACAAATACACGTACGAGTAAGAACAACAATTGTGAAAGTGCACGAAAATAAAAGCAACCATTTCCTCGTCGTGCGTGACTCCGCACGGAAATGAACATAGCAGAGTACGAGACAGTAGCCTCTGCAACCAAGTATACTTGAGATATAGGCACACACACAAACGTGAGCTCATGTTTCACCTGGTCTTGAAATCTGCGCCACTAAAGGCAAACTTAATGCAAAGGAGCTCTCCCATAGTGAAGTACCAAGTACTCTAAATCATAATCTACTTTTTCTAAACACAATGCAGCCACACACAGTGGTTATCCTAAGCTTTTAGTATGGTTCCCAATCGACAAAGCCATGCCGTTTTATTTCTACTGGGTGCCTGCAATACGTGTAGCAGAAACCGTTGGTCCGGATCAAGTCTAATCGATTCAGAGAGCAGCTGGCATTCACGCACGATGTACCCTCGCGGAATTTCGTTTCGATTCTGGTAGACTAGCTGGCTTATTCATCCGTTACGAAGAAAAAAAACAAGCAAAAGAAGGGTCGCTTCGTCATGCCGTTGCTACAGCTTATATTGCGCCTTCCTCACCAACCAAGGGCGGCATGGCTGTGCCACTGGCTGTCTTCCATCGCTTCCCAGCTAATGCTTATGAACCACAGTACCGTCTATCTGCACGGCAGGAAACGCTACGCAGCGAAAACCAGCAAGAAAAGAGAGCCAGAAAGACAGGGCCTCTATATTGGTCTGCCTCTGATCACCCCCACAGCCAAGCCGAATGAACGCAAGCGTCTCGCAAGGATTACTAGTGCACAAATAAGGGTTCCCCCGCCTTCGTTTCTCTGAGATACTCATTAGGTAATGTCCTACTGATCGCGTTGACAGAAAGCATTTACGCTATAGGACTGCTCGAAAAAGAGAGTAGGCAAGAAGCAATAGAAGGTAATCAAACGAATATCTCCTGTTTGCTATTCGCATCGGGGGCAAGGATAAAGACGGGAGATGAGAATCCCAACAAATCCCTATGCTACACATGAATTCAAGAAGGCCAGTCAAACTTAGAGATAAAAAAATGCCTTAACAGGTTCCGTCCTTGTGCACCGATTGGAGGAGTTTGAGTCTTGTGCACCGATTAGATAAGTTGAAGCACGACACTTTAGTTTTATTCTCGTTTGCTTTCTAGGTTGTTTTTACGTGGTACATCCAGCGATTGTAAGAAGAGCCATGTAACTCCTCCGCGAAAGTAGTTTACGCGAGGCGGTGGGACACTGAACATTGTGAGCGAGGCAGCCTCACTGATCGGGTTCTTTGTTAAGTGGTATTTCAGAAATAGAGCCTCCGACGAAAGTGAAGAGAGAAATCTATCACTTCGTTATATAACCCCAGTGCGGGCTCATGCCGGACAGACACGGGTCTGTATACGAAGAGACGGAATGCTTTGCGTGCCTGAAATGTGAGTAGTACGCAGTGGTAAGGGATCAATGAAGCGCGAAGGGGACAGTAAAATACGAAAAAAAGGTAACAAAAATTTTCTTCCCTACAAGGACGCAACTGGTCCTCCTATAGGAGAACAACACTCGGCTCGTCACTCGTTAAAAGAGGCGGGACCTACGGGCTTGTGATATTTCCACGCACACTTCTCTGACTTTTGTATTTAGGCTGGCGCTTACGAAACTTCTCGCCCATGGCGTTCGCGCCCTCTTCGACCTCTTCTCATCACCGTCACTGAATTGCTTTACACCAGAAAGGGCACGTTTCTGAATGCTGACGAAGTCTTCCTGTGATTATGAACTGTTTTAGAATTTCTGGCTAGGTATCTAGTTTTTATAAATGACTCCGCACGCTGTACAACCAACTGTGATGCTAGAAACGGTATAGACGAAGGTCATCGGCCATTTGCAAGCAAACCTTACCAGCGACAAAATATGATAATTTCTGTCATTGGGCCCACGCTCGATAAATTTTTTTAAGTGAAATAGTTCCCAGAAGCAAACAACGATGGCAAGTGGCAAACATATCGATGAATGTAATCGAACAACGAGAAATTCTCGCATGGGGTGTAAAGCGTGGCATATTCCTGTACAGCAAGGGTGTTGTAAAGAGCAGTGACATTGAGAATGGGTGATGTCATGGTGAGGATAGGAAAAATTATGGGTGGAGAGGTTGTCGCATAAGAGAGAGTTGTATCGTAAGGTACAGAAATACAGCGGCAAGAAAAATAGAGGGTGAGAGCAGCTGATATGAGGGTTCGGAAGAGAAATAAAGAAGGGAAACGCCACCAGCTACGCTGTTTACTCAGTCTTCGCGCGACTAGTGCGCAGCTGGCCCTTTTTTTTCTTTTGTCGCTATGAGCCGGGTTTCAAAAGTTTCGTCCTCTTGGAGCACTCTCATCCAACGACCTGCAGGCTTTCGTAATAATATACAGCATCAAATTCGAGCAAAACTTTAACTTTTCGCCGTGTTCAGCATAAGACGTTTTTGAGTGTTCTGACTTTGCTTGCTCGTAAACGTTTCTGAATGTTTGACAATTGCAATTCGTTTTATAAACTGGGCACCGCTACTCGGAGATTGAAGTCATAAAAAATTACTTCACAGTCACGAAATTGTAGTCACGAACTTCCACTGGCAAGCGGTCGGCGACTTTTGGCAACGCAACCTTCTTTGGTTTGTAATCCGGCTTAGTGAGCAGTTGTATCGTGAATTATTGAATGAATAGACTTTATTTAAAGTGCGGCTGTTTTACCGGGTGAGGTGGGGGAAGAGGAGATTAACCCCTGTCCCTTCCCACTCTCCGTTGATCGTGAAGGCGGTGCCTCAGGTGACCGCTCGAAGTTCTTGAACCCGGGCGGCATCTTCAGCTTGCCGGACGGCCCAAAGCTGGTCGGCCAGCTCGTCGCTTGTGACGTTCAAATGTTTTTTTGTATACCCTATCTAGTGTAATGTTACAAGAAGTTGATGTGAAGTTGTTAAAAAAGCTGCGGAAAAGTCTGATATTTTTTTTTTAATTTCGACATACTGCCAATCCCATCAGGGATTTTAGCAGGAAGGGCGTGAACATAAAAATTGGAATAAGTACACAATAAAGACATACATCGCGATAAAGTACAGAATGAAACTAACAGAATCGGATCATTTAACAATTTCAGATCAAAGAAGGCATAAAACATTAGCGTAAAGAAAAGTTGTCAGAAGAAAATAAATGCAGCGACTTGATTGACACATTGGTTGACGTATTGGCATATGCATCAAAAAACACAACAAGAAATTACAGCAATAAGAAACTACCCTACAATATGGCGAAGTATTTCAAGGAAGGGCAAATTTATACACACTGAAAAACAGAAACATGATCAAGAAACAACAGAGTGATTTCTCTTCACCTGGTATGTGGATACTGTGGGGAGATATTAGTCTATTAGTGACAAAGTTTTGTTATACTTTATGGGACTGCAACTTCCTGTTCTTTAAGTTGATTAGTTTGTACGTAGAATAAGTACTTGCAGCCTGATACTGCTTTTAAGAAATCTTGAAACCACCATTGTTCCGAATGATTCATACAAAAGGCGGGACAGGAATTTTTAAAAAAAAACGAACATATCAATGTGCTTCAGTTCCAGCTCATTGTTAGAATCTGTGACATAATTTACATTGTCGCAGTCATATGAACTTCGAGATCTTGTACGTTTAGGCCGTATATATTTCATCTAAACGCTGTAGGTGCACCGCAATCATGGTTACAAAATAAAACGTGCCTGTAAACACGCTCTGCAGAGCAT